TTTTCTGATATTGAAGGTTTTTTTTTTCGTAGCGACTCTTTTATCTGATACTTTACAGTCGTTACAGGTCGGCTGCTTTTTGGTTACGGTCCTATTCCCTTTCTAGCTAAAAAAAAAATCATTGAAATGCAACACCTAATGTAAAAAAAATATGATGTCATATAGTTTTAAACTATTATGGAAGGCTATACTAGAAGTAAAGTATATTATCAATGACTAATGATAGCTTATTCTTAAGGTCGTTTCTTCAGACGTAGACAGTAAAAGGAGAAAAAAGACGCGTGAACAATTGCCCACAATTGTATGTTCATGCTCGGTGGCATATCTAAGGGTTGAATATATTATTAGCTGAGTCACGAGGTAAAGATCTACACCTTAACAGATTTATTCAACTGTGGATCTTGCAACTTGAAAAGACTATATACAGATATAAAGAAACGTGCTTACCAAATAGATAAGAATAAATACGATAAAAAGATAAAATTAAGCTGAGATTGGTATGGTCTGATTGCGGGGTGCAATCACCTAATCAAAATGGAATAAAAGGATCATAATTAAAAACAATTGAACTGGATCGACAATAGATCATTAACCTAACACAATCGTTACCTATCGCACAAATCCCCATACTCTAAACTTACTTTTACGCAAACATAACCCCCCATTAATCCGCTACCTTGAGGAGCTCTTGGGCCTTACACTGGGTAAACATTTAGTAAAAAAAAAAAAAACAACAGAAGTTAAACTTGGACAGGTATATTTACCCGACCTACCCACTAAGGCAGGATGTGACACAAGGTCGTTTTAACGTAGGGAGCAACGTACTCATGCTTATGCATATGGGGCGAGGACAAAAGTTCTTGGTCATACCAGGCGGTCACTGTCACGCTGGCATCGATATTATACCAACCCTATCTCTCTTACTACAATGAGGAAGATATTGTTGCAGGGTTGGAAGCTCCGGGCAAATTCCTCCATCTAAAATAAGGAGAAACTTTTACTCCACTTCCTGCACAAAAGTTAACTCCTGTGCCAGACCTGGGTAGGGTATCAAAACGAATTTCGCACCTTTAGGGACACGTCAAGACTCAGCAAAACCATTCAAATCTGGTGCCTTTTCTCGCAAACCAAACTCACCGCATTTAATCACCTTGCACGAAAATCTCGCTCAAATTCAATTTTTAAATGAAAAATGTTGAAATTAGTTATTTTTAATATTTTCATTATTATTATTATTGGATTTGGATCGGTACTACTTTCATTTTGAAAGGTTATCAAATATAGAATGAACAAATTATAGATAAACAGGAATAATAATAATAAAAAAAAACTGTCTATTTTCTTTCTGTTATTCATCGTATGAAATCTTTGTCTAGTTTGTAAGACACCGGAAGAGGAAGTAACAAATATATCGAGTAAGATAGTTAATGTGAACGAATTGTAAATTAAGAGAAACTTTCCAAATTGATTGATTTGTTTGTTTAACGGCATATCAACACTTTATGGGTCATTTAATGCCGAAAATTAAATTTTTTATGAGCTTTTAAGTAATAAAAATATGATGCTATTCATCTTTCACCATTGAATACATTGTAGATGATACTCATCTTTTGTGTATATGCATGTTTGTGTAGACATGACTACTAGAGTCAGTGCTATGAGTATTTTATGCTGTAGTTTTGTTGAAGTTATGTTTTGGAATAGTTTGATTTCTTTAAGAAATTGTAGGATATTATATGGTCATGAAAGAGTTCAACTAAATATATTTTAAACGTAATTGTATACCTTCAGTTACAGATAAAATTGTTGGTCATTTTGCTATAAAAACTATTGCTGGTAATTATACTATAAAACCTATTGCTGGTCATTTTGCTTTAAAAATGTATTGTTGGTCATTTTACTATAAATAGGTATTGTTAGTAATATAAAAAATATATTGCTGGTACTTTACTATAAAAATGTATTTTTATACACTTATAGTGTGTTGTTTTTGTTTGGGGTTCACTATTTGCCCATAGCTGTGACCCGAACAGGTGCAACCACTACGGGTCAGGGTGGACCTGGGGACAACAGCAATTAAGAGGTGGTTCCACGCTCCTCAAAACCTCTAATCTCCTGATCAGAGGCCTTGCTGCTGGATGTAGTTTATCTTCATACTCAGGACTAGCTATCGAAATTAAGCATACAGCTGATCAGTAATTTCAGTATTGCGGAGATAATTTAAAATCACTCCTTGATTGTAAGCGTAATACTTGCATTTTGATTTGCAACTTAATTATTTGTTTCTTTGTAATTATCTTCACCTGCCCGGCCTTCGTCAGCCAGGGTTTACACACACAAAGATTGAGAAGAATCGCTGATGTAATTGCCGTTTGCATAGCGTAAAGAATTCGCAACTTAGCCTTACCTGAATTCGAACGATGTAATCAATGATGATTTTAACTACCATCGCATTCATTGTTATACAGGGTGTCCATAAAGTCTCTTTATAGTTTAAAAATATATATTACAAAGGCAATTGATGAGATATCTTAATCAGATTTGTTCTATGTACTCAGTAATTTTCAAAGTTTGTAATCACATTGCATTTGGGTATTCCAGGTATCCTGTTGATGAAAGAGGTACTGTTAAATGAACCCCAAACATTTCCAAACCGGTCGACTGGAAAGGATGGCCCAATTCCCTGGCCACCTTGTTCACCTGGACTTCTTCCTATGGGGTTGCGTTAAAGATACCGTGTATCGAACAAAGATACGAGACATCATTAATCTAAATCAAAAGATCACTGATGCCATCGTCAGCATTGATGAGGCTATACAACAGTGAACATGGCAAGAAATCGATTACCGTCTTGATGTGTTTCGTGCAAATAATTGTGCCCATATAGAGGTGTATCAAATTAGTTAAAAAAACTTCAGTATCTCCTCCTCATTTTGTAAGAATTTCTACATATTTGGTTGTTCATTTGCCTTTGTAATATTTTTTAAATTGTAAAGAGACTTTATGGACACCCTGTATATGAATGTGTTTTACATTTTAACATTTTCCGCCGTCCAAATACTTAGTAAATTCGTGTGAATCATCTTGTAGATATCCACATATAATATGATACATATGATTTTCTTTGTTCTCTCAAAAGCGCATCCAACTAAAAGTAATGCTGTAATGATAATGACGATTTTACAAGTACACGATATAGTTGATTGCATCGAGAAAAATTGATTAATTTGTCTTTTTACAAATTATCAACTTTTTGCAGGTTATTTAAAACCAGAAAATATTTTTGGTGTGTGAAAATTGAGACAATAAAGATTTACTGATAAATGTCCATTATTATTACCGTATATACCGTATCACGCGACTTTTGAAGGCCCAATTTTGAAGTTAATTAGACTACAGTAAATGGATGTATTGTTTGGTCAATGGCGTAACCAGGGTTAGCAGTACATACGCTAATTTTATATCTTTTATATGATGCAAAAATTAGCTTCAAAATTAGGTCTTCAAAAGTCGCAAGTATATACGGTATATACTATTTAATCCATAGCTGGAAAGAAGATGTGGGTTCATACCTTTCCCAACGGTATTTGCACGTAAGTGAATATGACGAACACAGCCGGAATTGAAACTCAGCTCTCTGATTTCCAATTGCCAGCCGTTATCCATTACACCACTTGAACCTGGTATTCTCAAGAGGTCACCGCCTAGGTATTGACCAGACTCGACGTTGCTTAACTTCGGTGATCGGACGAGAATCGGTGTCGAGAAAGGTTAAAATACTTGTCCAGGATCTAGATGTCGGCTAGTGGAATTGGTCATACAAAGCATGGCCATGTTCTTAAAAAGTCTCGTCAGATCTAGACTCTCATATGGAAACCCTCCATGGTGTCCAACCCGTTCAGAAATGTCTAAACTGTCATCGATCGATAACTGTTTTTTCAGATCAATGATTAGAAATGGCTTCAAGCGAATGAATCGACAACCCTTCATAATATCTCAAACACAGAATTTTACCAAAAAAAAAAAAAAAAAAAAATCACTTGAAGACTTCCAATAGCAGTAACAACAAAAATGGGTAGCAAAAAAGCTAGAAAGGAAAATAATGATATAATCAAAATGTTGATAATTTTTTCCGCTACCTTAAACAAAATGATAGGAAGGAAACTTCTATCAATACTAGAAAGAGCGATAACAATTAGTGGAATGAGAAGTCTAATTTCCTAAGAAACTTTTAATATTTTTTTATAAATCTAAACCGATAGTAACACGAACTGTTTGGTCAGTGAATGTCGAATCTTTCTTGTTTGGAAACAGATAATTTCACCAATACCTTACTTACATTAAAAGTTTAAGAAGTTAATGGTCAACTTGATACTTGTAAAATCTGTTAATATGATCTACAGAAAGCTAAACGTGTGCAGCAGAATGAACGAGCGAGAATGAGATAAGGTAGGTAATAATATATAAATACTTTTTCACCCTCATATACATGCAAATGCAATGATTAGGTGAGCAATATGTTATTTCCTCAGGCCAAATCTATTTAATTGTCACTTGAAAAAAGAAGAAAAAAAACCTCCTGTTTTAAGTGAGGCTCATCTGATACGACGGGATCAGCTCGGACGTTTCTATTAATATTAGCTTATATTGTGTAAACATTGTCATCCAATAAAAAGCCAGTCTATAATTTTCGGCTGGCTGTCTTTAAGGATTCCTCCAGTAGTTAGCGTCGACGAGCGGGCAGAGAAAACATTTTTTATGCGTCACGAAATCGAATATTTTGGAAATGGGATCAGCAGGCGTGTTACGATCATAATAATAAAAAAGGTGAGGTAAAGTGAATAGAACATAAAAAGTAAGGAAGGAAAAGGATAAAGTGAAAAAAAAAATGAGAGGAAACAAGAAAGAGGTGAGGAAAGAAAGCAAGAAAGAAATGAAAGTGAGATTGAGGAAGGAAAGAAAAAAGGAAGGGAAGGTAAATATGAGAGGAAGGGAGGAACGAAGGAAGGAAAGGAAGGAACGAAGGAAATGAGGAAGGGAGGAAAGAAGGAAGGAAGGAAAGGAAGGAAGGAAAGGAAGGAAGGAAGGAAGGAAGGAAGGAAAAGGAAGGAAGGAAGGAAAGAAGGAAGGAAGGAAAGAAGGAAGGAAGGAAGGAAAAGAAGGAAGGAAGGAAGGAAAAGAAGGAACGAAAGGAACGAAGGAAGGAAGGAAAGAAAGGAACGAAGAAAGGAACGAAGAAAAAGAAGGAAGGAAGGAAGGAAGGAAGGAAGGAAGGAAGGAAGGAAGGAAAAGAAGTAAGGAAGGAAGGAAAAGAAAGGAAGGAAGGAAAAGAAAGGAAGGAAGGAAAGGAAGGAAGGAAGGAAGGAAAAGAAGGAAGGAATGAAAGGAAGGAAGGAAAAGAAGAAAGGAAGGAAAAGAAGGAAGGAAGAAAAGAAGGAAAGGAAGGAAGGAAAAGAAGGAAAGGAAGGAAGGAAAAGGAAGGAAGGGAGGAAGGAAGGAAGGAAGGAAGGAAAGAAAAGAAAGAAGGAACGAAATAATAAACGGAAAAAATAAGAGGATAATAAAAAGAATCAGAGGGGGAAATAATTAACATGGCTTAAATGAAGAAAGAAAGAATAGAAGCGAGAAAAAATGTTATAAAGAAGAGAAGAAAAAGGAAAGAAAGAGAGAAGGAAGGAAAAAGAGAAGTACGAGTGGGAGGAAGGAAAGAAGGAAATATAAGAGAAGAAGAAAAGGGATAGAAAGAATGAAGGAAAAAAAGGAAGGAAGAAAAAGAAAGGGGGAGGAAGAAAGGAATAGAAAAATGAGTCAAGAATGAAGCGGAAAAGGAAGTCAGACATGTTAGAAGGAAGAAAACTAGAAAAAGACAAAATAAGAAAGAAAACAAAAATTACTGAAGCAGAACTCTTAACCATAAAACAATTCCAAATAATATTTTGCAAGTAAAATATTAATGATGCATTTCGATAACGTTTCCCTGTTATTCGATATAATCTTTCAACAAGAAGGAATAATGTCATGAGAAGCCTATAAATTAGACAAACCAAATGTCGGCACATGTATCGACCTCTGAACTACCTGCCACAGAAAATCATTGCTGTTCTCTTGGTCACAATAATGGATAAAATTCACTTGTAATAGTGATTTTCCAAGCGTAGCTTAGATGTAGCACAAGGCCGAAAGTAGGGGGCACCGAGTGAGGATCGAACTCACTACTCAGTCGTAATTATTCTAGCAAGACAAGCTCGCTAATTATTACATCGCCTCGAGGTGCCCAAATTCACTTGTAATCATCTGCAAGGTGAACTATTTATTGAGACTTAACCACCTTTGACACAGTGCCAGATTCATGGTGCGCCCAGCGACGATCAAATTCACTAACAATGATCTGCGATTCTACTCTGCTCATGATCATTTAACGAAAAGCTCCCTTTTTTCCCCGCAAAGTAAAATTTATTCCCGTTTTTTTTCTTTAAGAAAATCTTGAAAAAAAAAAAAATCTGCGTGAGATAAAATTTAAAGTTTTAAAGAAATGCTGCAAGTGTTTGCAGGAGTCGTAATTTCCGTTTCAGGGAATCACTTTGAATAATGATTGTATCGTCTTAAATACTAATCTTATATAGAAGTTAAGAATAAATTCGGAACACTTGTTTGGCAATGGCAGCGTTCACACTTGATTAAAGCATAAGTCTCTTAACACCTCTAATAGAGGGATTGGATAAGCATTTGACTTATATAAAATTATGAGAGTTCAAATAAGTGAATAACGCTGTAGAGACATTTAGAAAAAATATATCATGTTTGTTGGCAAGGAGGTATGACTGACCGGCTGGTATGGAATTGATTTGCAAAGTTTCGTTCTCGAGAAACGTCGGTGGAAAACAAACGCATTCTTTGATAATGAAGCTCTAAAGTAAACAGTGGAAATTAATTCATGGCAAAGTCCACGCAAACAGTCCACGAGGTTAAATATATTCCAATCAAAAGTGCTTTAGTTTTCACGTGCTCTTAGCGAAACGAACAGAGCGGACCGTTTAATTTGTTTGTTTTGTTTGTTTAACAGCAATAGCAACGTGTCCATAAAACATCTGCCTATATTTCTGAGATGAGGTATTCTATTTACACTGTTTACATTGTTCGGACTGTTGTCCTCATTTTTATTGTCATATTCACGACGTTTCTGCCGTTGAAAACTGAGATATCCAGAAAAGGCATGGCACGTGGAACTAGAACAATCTACCTTAGAACTAAATAAAAAGTTCCGTTCGAAATTCCGACGTATATCAGCTGAAGAAGTCCGAAGCGTACAACAGCCGAAACATCGTGAATATGACAATAGCGATGAGGACAACAGCCCGAACAATGTAAATAGTGGGGAATAAACACAACTCCTAGTAATACCAAAGATGGACTGAAGGCAAGGATGATGGCAGCATTCACCAACTTATCAAGGAGACCGTCCAGAAGAGTTGCAGGTGATTCCGAAATTGTCGGGAGGCCGTGGTTGAAGCCAATGGCGATTTTATTGAATAATTTTTACTCTTTAGTATTTCAAGATATTTTTATGCCATTTTCTTAACTATATAATGATAAAGGATTGGTATGAAATATCGGACAAAGTAAGTAATGGTCGAATACGTGAAAACCAGTTAGATGTTAAAAACTTTTTATTTGTTCATTGACGTTACGCTGCTTAACGTGGGTGCTTTCAAAACATAAAGGAAACATCTAAGGACGCTATCATTCCAATCCTGATGCAATAAATAAAATAAAATAAAAAGCTTTACTTGATTTGAAAATAACTTTAACAATTAATTAAAAATAGAAACATCCGTGAACAAGTCGATGAGATTTGTATATAGGAAATATATTAAAATGTAAATATCATGATTAGATTTATGAAGATAAAAAAGAATGAAAAAAGTTTTGGAAAGAAAAATAAAGCGAGTACAGTGTAACCCGGATATAAGAGAGTTGTCGGGACCGGAGAAGAAGTCTCTTATATCCGGTTTCTCTACATCCGGTTTCTCTTATATCCGGGTTTGGTCTAATTTATATACATTAACACAGGCTCTAATTTGGGAAAATCTCTCTTATATCCGGGTTTCTCTTATATCTGGGTCTCTTATATCCGGGTTACACTGTATATCTAAAGAGGCATGGTGGAGTAATGGATAGCGGCCCGGATTGAGGGACCGGAGAGCCGAGTTCGAATTCCAGTCGAATCCATTACACTCACTTGGAAAAATGTAGGAATCCTCTTCTTCACCACCCCCCACCAACTATAGGTAAATAGACCTGGTTCTATAGCTTTGGATGGCAACTGATCTCCGCAGAAAGAAATGATAACCTACTGCGGGAAAAATCTGCCTCGTCAGTCATGTATCGAAAGATACATGATCGCCTCAGCGTATATCACGCATGACACATGATATCTAAAGAAAATAGGGAATACTTATAATTAAAAATGGAATTTACGATTACGTATTATTTACATCTGTCTATATTTCTGAGTATTCTAACTATTTACACTATTGTTCGGACCGTAGTCCTCATTTTTATTGTCATATACACGGCGTTTCGGCAACGTATATCACCTGTAGAAAGCCGAAGCATACAATCGTTAATATCAAAATAAAGATGAGGGCAACACTCTGAACAATTAAACTGTGAGTTTCCATAAAAGTTTGATCGAAAATCGCCCAGCGATTGTAAATAGGAAAAATGTTGAATAGCACATGAAAAAACCTTTCGATCTCAGTTGGTCTGTTTTAACTCCAGCCGCCATATTTCACCTGACCTTGCATCAATCGATTATTACATTTTTCGCTTTGATTAAGGGAAACTTTCTATAATTAAAACCTGATTCAAGAAATTGAGAAAAAAAATTGGAAATTATTTATAACTTATAACTTTATATAAGAGAACCATACGCTTTCGTGCTCAAGATTTTGGGTAAAAAACAGACATGTTCCATTAAAATGTTTGTCTAAAGGGAATATATATATATATATATATATATATATATATATATATATATATATATATGTGTGTGTGTGTGTGTGTGTGTGTGTGTGTGTGTGTATAAATAAAAAGAAAGAACAGTAAGATATATAATCCAGTGTTCTTATAGATATTTTTATTTTTACAAAATAGTGCTCATTGTAAATTTACAGAGCATTATATATATATATATATATATATATATATATATATATATATATATATATATATTTCTGTGTATATATATATATATATATATATATATATATATATATATATATATATATATATATATATATATATATATATATATATACATGAATCATTCGTACAAAAACAAATATAGAAGTTAATGATTTAAATGGCGAGAATACATCTTCGCAAACAATTTTACTAAAGTACACTAACCCCGAACCTGTATATAAATGATATGATCCCTGTTTATAAATTCCAGTTGCATAAGGTCTTTTTTAGTTTTACAAGCTTTCGTCTGTTCCTACAGACATCCTCAGGTATGGAAATAGATTTGTTCTTGTTTTTTACATCTCGGTAATAACAGGACAACGAAAATATGGATGTAATCCGAAAAAATTCTTTTAGAAATGTGTTATTGTTTTGGAACGTGCGGTCGCAACGCTGAGTTTGAATTTTAAATTTTAAGATTGTGCGTTTTTGTACTAGTATGGTAATAGGAGAATTCTATTGTACTGGTAGGATTTGCAGTCAATGTGGCATGAACTATATTTTTCAATAATTACAGGAATGTCACAGTTATTATCCGAAAGTTACACGTTGGATCAGTTATTTTAATTTCAAGTGTAGGTGCAGTTCAATTTATAATTACATGAATCATATATATATATGAGTGATGATCGGATGTCGAAAATCTTCATGTATAGCCAACTTTTTCATGGTAAGCGTAATGTAGACCGTCCTTGGTTACGCTTTATGGACAAACTTAAATACAATTTAAATGGTGCAAACATTCCTATAGAAGAGTTCAAACTTGCTGTTGAAAACCGAGCAAACTGGAGAAACATCTGCTACCGAGGTATAACCAACTTTGAAAAGAATCGTCTCAACCATCTGAATGAATTAAGAACCAACACTAAATCTCGGCCTAATACATCAGACCATACGACGGTCAAGCCTTCAGCATGTCCCTCAAAAACTTGTAAAAAAAACAAAAAAACATTCGTATGTCGTGTGTATCCTTATACAGGAGACACAGGAGATATATATATATGTTCAAATCCCGTACAGGATTATTGTCTCATACGAAACATAAACACAAAAACTGAACTGTAAGACAATTCTATTAATACGTCGAAAAAAAAATTAATTGCTTTTAATAATATGTAAAAATCTCCACTTTCACCTGACGGGGAGTCCAACATATATATATATATATATATATATATATATATATATATATATATATATATATTTATATATACAAAGAAATAATCACACATAGAATCAATCAGAAGTATTAATGCGATTATTGGCGACATCCTTCGCTAGAAACATAATATATGCATTAAAATCCTGTTAATCCATAGTTTATTTCTTTGTATGTAAATTATATGC